ACAGTGTTTCCGTAAAACACAGGTGCAAATTGGAAAGCCTACAAAGGTTGTTTACTCAACGTCTAGTAGGTGAAAATCTTTGCATTTCCTACTACGACAGATGTAACATATTTGACTTGGAACCCTTATGGGTCAGACGACTGAAGTTTAACCTAAAAATTACATTTAGGATCGCTAAAGGGCTTATATATTTCCCCAACAATGACTTTACTTTTAGTTCACCTAAGAAATATAACCTCGGAAATAAATCTTCATCTTTTGAAGCGCCCCGCTGTCATACAAAGTACAGATCAAATTCTTTCACTGTCAGATACCGCTGCATTTGGAACCGTCTTCCAACTGAAATTAGAAACAGTCCTACCCCAAAAACCTTCTCATCTCTGCTGAACAAATATTTTATCAACACCGGGTTAGAAGGCGTATGTGACAGACTAAAAATCAGAGATCTAATACGGCACTCCTCTGACCCTCACTGTTAGCTCCCGAAATCTGTGATCTCTATGTTTGACTCTCCTTTCACTATGATTGTTTTCACAACCCCAATCATCTATTCTCAATTAGCCTTAAATTTTAATTATTTCTTCATTCAAATATTTAAAAAAATTTTTTGCACATATCACTGATAACATGGTATTATGAGTATTTCAGCATGCTTAGAGTTCAGTCTCAAGCTCAAGATGCAAATCAACTGAAAACGACTGGTATTAAAATGTCTCTGGAGACTGCCTAATGCTACATGTTAGCACTGTCTGCCTATACGCAAATTAAGGCCCGAATGTTGGTAGTCTAAATAATCAACTATACGGTGAGTCCTAAATAGTAATGAATCCTATCTTACTGTTCTATAACTATAATCTTGTGTAGTCAAATCTTTCGGAACAAAACATTATAAATTACTACTACTTATATGTTTAATGCTGCATGATTATACACTGTTTTCCGAAATTACATTTGTTTATATCTAAAATGTAGACTCTGATAGTCTATTTTCCTTATACTTTTATTATTGTTCCTCTCCAAAATGCTGTAACAGATGAAACATACATGACGGTCTTCTGAAAGTAGTCACTCATACCATGACTTCGAATGAGTTGACAAATGAATATTTTTTTAAAAAAAGAAAAGTTTGTGGCATATTATAACAGAAATTAAAAGATATATATAACAAAAAATGAAGCATTTTGCCAGGGCCTTGCACAAAATGGTGGGAGGGTGGTGATTGCTAGTCAGCGGATATGATGGTGGGGACATATGAGAACCACCCTTATCTGTGGGACAGCACTCTATTGCTAAGGCTCCTGAGTTCGAATGGCTTCTGCAAAATAAGAGAATAAAATTTTTAAAAAAAGGACGACAGAAGTTGAAAATTTGCCTAAAGCTGAAGTTTAAATAACAAACTCCTCGAATGCAAGTACATGGTATCAGTCCCCTACTTCAGAAGGACACCTAAATGTATACTTCAGAAAAACAGTAGTTATTATTAAGCCCTCGCTTTTCTTCTACATAGTTCACGCACTTTGACTTTTGTGTTTAAATCATATTCAACCTATATAAGTAGGTAAAATTATCACCTTTTTTCACTTAAACTTTTTTTCTTTCGCAAGAAAGACTAGAATTCCATCACTAGAAAATCTCAGGGGGAAATAGTATTTTTTAAATGAAAAAACAACAACAAAAAAAATGATGAACCCCATGTTTTTTATATATGTTTTGAATAATTAACACCTATTATATACTTCTGCACCTCTCTGGCGGTTTCCTTGTGTCTTCTTCTCTTTTCAAAGGTACTGCCTTAAACGAAGGCACTGAAACAGTGCCGCTATCCTCAACTAATCCGGAATATTGCTAGCCCACCTGGTGAATAACGGAACTACCTCTATCATGAAATCTGCTGACAAGTTCAAAGTTGGTCTCATATACAACTGAAATTATGGTGTACTCACCGGTGAATTTGAAGTTTTATGGACTTTCAAACACTCTATGAATTATTTTCTTACAATTACTGTTCATTCCGCATCTCTTATATTTCACGTCAGCACCTGTACAAAAATGCTACTTAACTTCCACAATTAACGTAATCGTTTATAATTCCCGCGTGAAATTGACATACCGTATTTTTTTCAAT